TTTACGCACGTGATACATACAAAATTTTATGCACTAGTGGTTTATTTCCCGAGTCACAAGTAAGTACTAGATTTCAACAAACTACAATTCATATGTCACTTATAAATTCAGTTTTCAAGAGAAGCGCAATGTTTATGTGTATAATCTACTTACATATAAAAATTACCGTACGAATATCGCAATTATCGTAAGAGTAAAACTCTTCGTTCACTAACAGAGATTCATTCCTTGAGATGTAACAATATTTATACCCAGTATATAGCTACCTAAATTTGACGTTGTCAATCAATCTGATGGTTGCTGTCTTGTCTAGCAATACATTAAAAAAACAAGCTGAAATTGTCCATCTTTTCGCTAAATACTTCAGACAGCCAGAAAGCAACTATTCAAAGTAGAAAGTTTATAGCGGAGATGGAATCGGATGAACAATATAACATGTATCATAATCATAACGATAGAATCAGCTGAGAGTTCAAATATGGGTATTCCACAACTGGATTTGTGAATATAAGGAACTTGAGAACAGCGGGCGGTAAAGTGCACTTTATGGCCCGTGGGCGATAATGGGCCCGCGGGCGGTAAAGTACTACTTTACGCTCGCAAATCTGGGCGATAAAGTGCACTTTACCCCTCAAACTGTGCGTGACACGGTGTGCTTGCTCAATTTGAGCAACACCACCCTTGTATTTTCTAATTCGTTGACCGATTTCAATTTTTTTTCTGCTCAATATGTATAGTAACCTCATTGCGATCTACTTTCCTGATTCCTGACTGTAAAATTCTCGTATTCTACACGGCCCACTATGATCGATTTAAAATGCAAAATATCAGTTATCAGCATTTCGAGAAACTGCTGAAACACGTATATTTTTTATTTTCACGATGGTATCATATACAATATACAAGGCGTTTTATATTATGAATTATCTATTTTTCGTGAAAACATCATTTGAAGAATATTAGAGTATAATATATCATGATCATTTCCAGATATTCCTAGAACAGTTTCTCAGTAATAATTGTGTTGATACCATACACAATACACACGATACATTGTTTTTACAAGTTGGTATATACAAGAAATTAATTATTTTTCAGGTTTCAAAGAGTATGATAACAAATTTATTCGTTTCGAGAATTCATATTATTATTATCAAAAACAATCAAAATGTAATCATATCAGAACTAACAGTATCTCTCAGAGATTATAGCTTCAATTGAAATATGCACTTATTTCCTGAAACATGAATACCTGATATTATCAACTGATTTTTTGCGCTTTCAATCGATCATAGTTGGCCATTTATTGTTGCAATGAGAGAATTGAGAACTCAGGAATGTAGATCGTAATTTACTAACAAGTTGAAAGAAAAATAAAAATGTAATTAGTCAACTCGTCAGTCAACAAATAGGAAAATACAACTATAGTGCAACTCAAAGTGGGATATTTACACTGTATACTCCATAATCTAGTATGTTTCGCGGTTTCTTTCTCTAGCTAGAAGAAATGGCGGAATATTGATCTCGTCAAATTGTTCAACTTATTTGATCGATTATTGAAAATAATGAGATGCATCAGTTACGAATTTATTTTTGAATAGGGATCTGTGATTTTATATCCAATACTTATTCCTTCAATTTTGTGTATAAATCAATAGGAAGAAGTAGAAATTGAAACCTACAGAATTCAGAACACAGGAGTACATCAGGAAGAAATGAATATTGGAATTGGTCATTGGTTTTACATTGTATAATATGTACGTATCATCAGTCCAAACTGAAATATTCCCCTTACTCGAGCTTATTTGGAAAATATTAATCCACTCCATTTATGAGTTCCGAGGATTTGCAATCCGGAAAAATGCAATACAGGAGAGCGGAAACTATATGGTGGAAATTCACGTCCGACCACGAAAGGATTATTGATGGTTTATTGGTTTGTAAAAATAGACTAATGAAAACTGATGGAAACGCGATTGGATTGCTAACTAAGAGGAATTCATTGATTATTAAAGGAATTCTATTTATGCAGAAGTACTGTCGATTCTAGGAGAGGCATCCATCATGATGGATTAACTCATTTATCCAGTTGAACTATTGGCAACTGTATTTCAAATAATACCTATATAGGTTTTGGTTGAACCCTTACACAATCCCTACAAAATAATGCGAATTGCCTCGTACTTCATTTTGCATCTTTCCGATTTGACACTTACGTCCAATTATTATTGCCGCTGATATTGTTAATTGTTAATAGGTACTGTACTATACAAAGTGTAAATGAAGTGCTATGGTGCTTAGGGCTCATAAACAATATAGTTTTTAATCAATTACTCAAGTCTTTTGGCCCATAAGTTCGATAAAACTGATTTTGTTGATAGTTGACAGTGACAAAAACATCATTTTCGTTTGATTGGATTCGAACTAATAATTCCAGTATCGTCGTAGTGGGTTAACTCATCGATATTCATGATGAATATCATGGTACGCCATAGATTCTTTTGAGTTCAATAGTTTCATTAGAATCGGCAATTGAAAACACAACTTCTTGTCACTTATGATATATTGTATTGCTTCATATAAAAATATATCCAATTTTTGTATGTCCATAATTTATCTTAGAATATTCCTTTTCAACTTATGATATATTTTTGTGAAAATAAGATTGCTTCCTGTTCAATTGATATTATACCAGGTGAGTGAAACTTCGAGTAGATGCATTGGGTAGCTTTCAAAGTCTGTTTTTTATTCCTATCGAAAATCTATTCTCTGTCTCTCTCAAACACATGAGTTCTTATGGAAATTGCCAAAAATATGAATTTTTCGAATAAATGCGATACATCGTTGATTTATTGGGAGATGGAAAGCTATATTAAAATCCATTATGAAGAATCCAGAGCCGTATTACATACAATTGATGATGGCAGCTTGAAGAGGAAACGTCGGTTTGAAAATGTGATAACACTATCTTGTAGAATAGAAAAAGTAGCGATGAGAATGTGTGATTTGTTTTGCAATATCTATTGAAATAGAGCCAGGAAAAAAGAAATCGCGAATATTAGTTTTTCATTTTCAAAAATCTTCGAGAGTATTCGAAAATTTTCCAATTTCAGAATGGCATTTTGTTAGGAATGAAATTGTGCAACTTTGATTCCTGTAGCTCTCACCGTTTCCGAGATAAACATGTATCTACTCGAATATAACTCACCCGGTATATAAACGAATACTGATACAAGTGATTCTTTCCTGAATGCCTATTGATTTCGATTGAGCCAGGCCACGCTACATACCTACAGGTCGGTTTCGATCTCGTTGACTCTCATCAGTGCAGGGCAGTATCCAGCCAGCAGTCCCAAGACCGCTCACTAAGCGTAGCCTAGCCTAACAAGAATCAAGTCGGCATTATATTCCCTCAGAGGCGTCCTCCATAGACGACAATATGAGAGCAATGCCACCTGAGTAGGAAGGAAGAAAAGAAACACTCCAAACCCAAAATTCCCATACGGGAGTGGCTGGTTGCCCGACTGGCGTAATATCACATAGTTTATGGAATATCTTGTTCCATAAACTGTGGTAATATCAACTATGAAATAGCCTTGAGACTTGAGCCTTTTGTATTTGGTAGGACAGGAAGAAAATCTTACAGTCAACTCCACCAAAACTATACTTTATTTAACTTGGAAATTGGGACATGTTTCGAAGCTGCAAAGCTTCATCATCAGCAAAATTGTTACAGGAAGTACTACAATAAGACAAAAAACTTCGTCAGGCAAAGTATTCAAATAATGAAAGTGAAAGAATCCTCACCTGTTCTGGGGAAAATTCACATGTTGAAAACAAAAAATTACGGTTTACATATTATTACAAATTAAAAACATTGAAGCATTTAGCAAAATAGGGACCGCAATTAACTGCGGATCACTTTCGTCAAAAAATTAGTATCAAAAATCGAGGAAATTTTTTCAAAAAAATGTTTTTATATCGAAAGAATTCCAACATTGCTGGACAGTGAACCAAAAAAGCGAGGCAAAGGATGTCAAAAATTAAAAATGGTAACTAAAACAGAATTTCTTTGACATGAAGTGAAGGCTGATACGCTGATATAAGACTTAATGACGTGGGGTTACAGAACTCTGCATGAAATAGAGATGAGAGCAATACTAAGATTAGAGATGGGCACACAAGAGAATTATTATTAAAACAGAATTATTACAAAGGATAGTGTGTTTAGTTCAAGAAACATTATGTAATCAATAAGTCTTCCTAAGTGAAACAAATAAATTTTTTTATGTATTATTGAAGGATAGAGCATTAAAGAACCTGAAGCAGTCGAAGTGAGTCTGTTCATTTATGCATGTCATTTCAGGGTTTTTTAGAACTTTGTAAATTTCAAGATTCTCGAGTAAGTTCGGTTTTTTGCTTTTATGACAAAAATGTAAAAATTTGAGATCTGAATTAGGATCAAATGAATGTTTTTCATTAATGATGTGATTAGGAAACACGAAGTTGGTATTGATAAAATCTTTTTCAGGATTAATATCAATGACACGAACATGTTCAGTAATCCTAGTTCTGAATTTGCGGCCCGTTTGACCGATGTAACATACTTTACAATCAGGTTCAGAACATATGTCAGAAGGTAGACACCAGATTTATCAAAATCAGGAATGATATCTTTAGTATTGACTAGTGCACATCTGAGGTTATTTGATGTTTTGAATGAAACGATATATTGAGTTGAATTACTACTATTGAGTTTCTTACTTAGAATGTTTCTAATTTTAAGTGAAACAGAGCCTTTTGTATTTATTCAACAATCCGACACAGTCGATACAAACAGCGATCAAATAAATAAGAAATACCAATTACCGAATTACCTACTCCACATCAACCCTTCGAAGTCGCCGAGAACACCTAAATTAATTCCAGCAATTTTTCCAGATTGAGTGAGAGCGCGGGAGCCCTTCTTTATATTTTCTTCCTGCGCCCAGCCGACTAACTCCCCCCCACAGAAAGCTGGCGCGCTCCCAGCGCACTAATTGCACATTCTTGACATAGTTTCGGGCCCGCACCCTCACCCCCTTCGGCTCGACTCGCCGCCCCTTCTCTGCACCAGCCGCCCTCCGAGTTCCTCCCCCGGCAGTATTATATCTGCTGGCCCTGTGCTGAGAGAAAGATCAACTTTCGCAATGGCGTGCACATCAGAGATGACACATTATTCCAGGAACCAGAGATTAAACACTCCTATAATCTCTGCAGGAACGATAATAATAATAGTAGATTTTCGTTTACCTGAAACAGTAGCTAGTTTTCTAAAACTTGAAAATGGTACCTCATATACAGGTCATTCATTTCGAAGATCGTCTGCTACACTTTTAGTTGAATCTGGGGGAGATTTGCTGACACTAAAGAAACATGGCGGTTGGAAGGTCGCTGAAGGATATGTTGATGAATCGGTATCACACAGAACAGAAACACACAGCAATAGCTAATAAAGTATTCAGAACTTGTGGCATTGCCCAAATAACACCCGATTTGCAACCAGGGGTTGTACATGTCCATGGCAGAAAGAAATATAATTTCAACACGAGAAAATTCGAATGTTGTTCCGAATACTTCAAGGAACGTGTCATTTATGCAATGCACATTCATGTGTATCCGGGAAAAAATACTCACTTTTTTCCCACGGGAAAAAAGTAATTTTTGAAAAGTGACATTTTATAACCGGTCAACAGATATAAAATGTCAAACTGTTTTCCCGTCACAGAAATAGTAGATTGTATCATTAGGATCAAAAGTGACACTTTATTTGACAAGCGCTAAACGCTCCGCCTCGCAAATGCAAAATTCGCTTGTCAAACAAAGTCACTTTCGATCCGAATGTTACATGCTATTTATTCTGCAACCGAAACAATTGACTCAAATGGGTTAAAATATCCAATATCAATTGCAGAATAAGTTTCCTTTGAAGTGACTGCAGGTGCGGCACGAGATTCTGCAATTGTTTTTGGATAAACTATACCACCAATGCCGTGTCATATATGTACCTATGCAATGCAACAAATGATCCGTGTGGTAAGAATATTCCACCTGCATTAACAGCAGGTTTATTCAATTTTCAAGGATGTTCGAATTATAGTTTCAATATAAATACAACCACAGAGTGACATATTTGTGTATGGACCAGGTGCTCTAATGGCAAATACCGCGCCAGTGCCAGGTATAGGAACAAGACGTGGTGAATGTTAGATTAGTGAGCTTATCAACAATGATAATAGCGATTATTAATTTCTCTCCATACACCACTGTGCTTGGCTTGATAATCAAATGAAGGTAAACAATATCGTTGTTTGAGACAAAAAACTATTGCTGGCCGTGATTATTCAAAAACAAGTTATCCATCCCGAGAATGACGAATGAAATACAGATCAAGCAAGTATGTGAATCTTGAAGGCATTCCTGAACAAAACAAAAATACTCAACTATAATAAGGTGTATTTAAATCTCCAGCATGGGTATGGAATGCCAAATCTGACGAAATCGGAAACAAATCAGGTATGCGTCCCAACCCAAATATCCAACCCTAAGGGAGGCCGCACATCAAAGAAACATGAAACCTGAAACGTGAAGCATGAAACATAAAACATGAAACAAGGAAATTGCGAAAAACGAAACCGTTTCACTTTATATACTAATCAAAGAAACAAAAATACTAACTAGTGGCTAATATAATGATTATAGTTTGTCAAATTTTGGTTTCGCATATTAAAAATAAAATATTAGTACATTGTTGTTGCTTTTATGTCAGTTCAATGTTATTTACTGAATAAAAACAATGTTTATGCTTACCTGAACTTTTTACCTGATTGGCAACATTTTGCCAGGCTTTTTCTTGTAATTGTCTATTCGAGTACTTCTCCAGGTTATAATTATACAATTCTTCATACTTCTCCACAACAGCAACAAACTCAATATTGAATTCTTGGTCGTTATTCATTTTAAAAGCACGTATTTAATTGACCAAAACAATGCAACTGAAACAGAAAAATAGAACACGACCTATTTCATGAAACACGTTTCAACACGATAACAATGTTTTAGGCACATGCATCACACTTGTTTCATTAGTGGGCGGACTTCCATTTCTCTGACCGTGTTCTATTTTCATAAAACGTGTTTCACGTTTCATGCTTCATGTTTCAGGTTTCATGTTTCTTTGATGTGCGGCCTCCCTAACAATGCTGTTTATTCTTGATGACCTCTAGTACATCCTTTTTCCTAGGAGCACAAGTTCAACTTAAGCTTCTAGGAACTAAAGTTCAATTTTAGCTCCTAGGATCTAAATGTGTAGCCTAGCAACATACCTATTTTGTGTCAGTAATAGAAACGTCAATTCAAGAGCTAATTTTGATATTAAAATGGACGACTTTTGTATCGGTTGCATAAAAAAATATTTAGTAGCATCCGTACAAAGTGTCCCAGAACAACGTACCATGAATTCTACAGAGTGAACTAGAGACCAAAATAGGCCGATTGAAATCAACTTACCTCTATACGAAAAAGCAGGACGTGGAAAGAAATTCTGGATTGAAAACGAAAGACAGCCGTATTTTTCAATTAGTACAACTCTAGGAAACGGTATAAATGATACGAAGTTGGTTAAATTCGGTTTTGCCCGTATATTTTGAAAACGGTTAAAATTCTCGATGTCGTTTCATTGTTCACTAAAATAGGCAGCTTTTGAATACTTCAACGAACTTTGTATCATTCGCCGTTTTCGAGATGCCAATAGTGGTCCACATAAAAAATACGGCCTGTATTGATAACAAATGAAGCGAACACGAACTTAATTTTCATGTGATCATTTTATTTCAAATCATGTATATTCATTCACTTTATTCAATTAAGAAATACCCTATGGATTGAATCAGGCGTCGATAAAATCCCTATAGGTACCTTTCTCAACTTTTCAACTACCAAACATTATTTATTGAACATTTTTTCTACTTGTTTTCATGAGAAAAATATAAAAGATCTCACTTTCCAGTGCGAGTGATTTTTGCCTTCTTCAAAGATGTATACAGAGTTATTTCTAGTTTATCTATAACCCGACTGTTTGAATAAGACGAACTTTATTTTTGAGTTTCCTAATCAATAATGACAACCCCGGGAAAATTTCCACTAGAGGTTTCTTGTCAAAATTGGCTGAAAAACAAATGATATCGGCGTTCATTTTATACCAATAATGACACAACCAGCAAATCATGAAATGACAACGATTTCTGTCCAAGTTATACTGACTTTGTTGATGGTAGTTTACTTTTCATTTCTCGAACTACACAAATCGAAATATAATGGCACTGTTCTGAAATTTGTAGATGCGATAAGTTTATAGCGAACAACGTATTTTGAGTTCAGTGGTACGGCAATGATTAATATCGAGATATTTTTTTAGGTTCATCCTTCATCACTCACCAGATTGCCTTAAAAAATTATATAAACTTCAAAGTTTTATATCTTCATAACCAGTACTCATAATTTGACTGCATCATCAATAACTCTTGAAGTTTGAGGGGTAATAAATTTGATCGTGTGTATACAATAAAACATACTGAGTGTTGTGAAATTGAAGTATTGTATGTTGAAGATACATGTGGCTTCACTTCTGTGCTTATATCCCGCTAGAACTATGTTTAGTGTATACGATGGGCTGCACATTCGCACTAAATTATCTCACTATAGTCTATCTCACTGCAGCCAACCTCCATTATCCGCAGTATGAATGGACGGCGGCAGTTCAGGGAATCTCCCACACCCACCGCACCACAGAAAGAACCGAAACGACACATAAATAAAGATGTGACAAGATAACAATAAAACGAAGGAGCCATCCCGAACTCCTGAACTTCGGGAGTTTGTACTTTGTGATGCTCTTTCGGCCTCTTGCCGACGGAACTTCACGAGTTTTATGCTGCAAACCACATAAAATTGCGAATATGTTGCTGACTGCTACGAATTGATTTGGACGGTGATTATGCTTGGGGCATGTTAAAATTGAATGTACGATCAGGTTAGCTCAAATTCTCTATACGGGTGATTCACATAAGAACCGACATAGAGCAGGGCCATGTAGGGAAGTTGCTTCCCTAAGGAGTTATAGGCTTTGAAAGTGAAGTTATGAATTTTGAAAAAAATCAATATCTCCGTTATTCTTGAACTTAAAGCAACCAAAGTTGGTACACTTTGTGGATGTATTTAGGGCGTTACTTTACAGTAACTAGAGCTTAATTGAAATTTGTAAAGGGGGTATACCGGGTGGCGCACCATCAATATTCAACAGAATTTTGTTAACCCTCGATGGATTTCAAAAATCTTTGCTTTGTTTTGTGGGCAATTCAATTCTAAAACTTTTCATACTCAAGTAATTTTTCGAAAAACCTCATCATTTTCATCAAAAACTCGAATAATTGAAAACGCGCGCTCTAGGTGTGTTATTTAAAATCATCGAAAATTCAAAAGTTGGCTATGAAAATAAACGTCAAACTTGACAATGAGGCAAGTGAGTTGTTCAATTGAGTAATTGTTGTTTGAGTGTTTTTAAAATGAACGGGAAGTTTTCTTTTAACGAGCAAGTTGACATGCTGTTAGTGCTACGCCTATATCCTTAGGGAAGTAACTTGGTATAGAGGTAAGTTGCGTTAAATTGCCATATTTTGGGACCCCCTACATGCCCCTGCCCTATGTCGGTTGTTATGTGAATCACCCTGTATATCTGGACATACATTCAACAGTTTTTGATCTCTGAAAATCTTGTCATTATTGCTATATAGGGTACATCGTTGAAATGTTTTCACTTTCGTTTTTTGATCAACCTAATATAAAACCTTTAGTGTGGATGATCACAGAGCAGAAACTAATGAAAAACACGCAACTCAGGTTGACTAATTATTATATTCGTTTTTTGCAATTTTGATATAGGTAAGGGAGTTCTCGTGAAATCCAGGTGTGGATCAACAATACCTCAATAAACTGTGATCAAAACAATACCCTGTAGTATCGAATTTTGATAATTTGCCCTCAAATATGAATAGAGTACAAAACATCGAATCAAACAATTTTTTTTATGTCTTCCTTGTTTTACTAACCAAAATTTAAACCTTAATGA